TGTACAAAAGATAAGAACAGCGAAAGAAGAAAGCCAAGAAAGAGCGAAAACAGACAAGGGAGAGAACGAAACAAAAGGGAGTAGTCCTAGCGACAGAAGTACGTACTGGAAGAAGAGGTTGTGACAAGGAATCGTCACACAGGGATGTTTAAAAGGCGATAACAATTTTTTAGGTTTTCAATGGTAAATTTTCACTAAAAACTGTCTAAACCATAAAAAATTCATATCTGGGAAAAGCTTTGGTTTATAAGTCTACAACTCTCACAGCAAGTAGGCAACATCTCTCTCCATCAATGATGAAAGTTTCAGAATTCTAACTAATCAAAATCGTGAGTTATTAATTAATTACTATCAATTGCATTTTCATTCATTAACTCATATCTCGGTCCAAAAGACCCATGGGCACAAACCAACTTGGGGTTTTTCACTACTCACCAATTCCCATATGATGAAAATAGTGTGAGTCGAAAAGCGACTGAACACCTCGAGAGGTTCCCTCGTGAGTTCCAATGCTTTGTGCGTCAAACAGGACCGAACTGACCTTTGCTAGATCCTGAGAGTCACTAACAGCAAAACAAGCTTACACCGAGGATACTCACAGTTGTTGTAAAAAACATCCACCTTTGATGCATTTCTCACTTCTGTGCATTGTTATTTCGAGACCTTTACACAGGAAACATCGACTCAGAAAAAAACACAGAAGCCCTTAGACATAGTACATTTTCTGAGAAAGAAGACTCGTTTTGATAACAGTGCAACCACCGTGTACTTACGACGCAAATTAGTTAGTTTTTTGCATTGATTCTGCTTTAGAAAAGTTAAAAAGCAGATAAACTCGAATATAAAGTGGTCTTTACACCACTTTCAGACATAAGTACCTTGTATAACAGACACTTCTTTTCGTCTCGTCTGAAATGACACGAAAAACGTCGATTTCTACAACGTGTGTATATTGAAAAAAAGATGGCGTCGATGATAGAAAAGCAGACGAATATATTTCACTATATAGCACTTTCTTTTCTTTTTTCCTTTTATATACACACGTTGTACATATCGGCGGTTTTCTTATCATTTCGGACCAGGGACGGTGGAATGGTTTGAAAGTTGTGGGAGCGGATTTTTTTCCTGTAAAGTCAACGAAAACTAGCAGAGTATTTTTACATCTCACAACCTACTATCGTTTTCAATCGAGATTCCATCAAACCTTCTATCTTTGTGCACCTGGTTTTCAGAGATCCTTCTAGAAAACCTCGCAAAACCCTGTCAAAAAATTTTCTTTTCATGCACATCTATGTCCCAAGGACTTGGCTACACGATGGTGAAAACCGTCGTGTTGAACTGGTGAGGGTGAGGGGGACACGTTGAATTGTACATGATACTTGTTCTGTGGTGCTAAATATCAAATGTCCAAGTTTTAAACCAAAGTAGTATTGGAATTGCTTTATTTACTGTAAATAACCATTAACAGTTGTTCCTGATTTATCTTTGTCATCAATAACTGCGCCTAACACATCTTTAATTAATTCATAATTTTTCAATAGTGAATACATTGATCCAACTTTAACTGTCCATCTGGTTGGATATAAAGCTTTTAATTTTGTATATGGAGATGTTGTTTCATATAATAGTTGTTTGGCAATTGATAAACGTTTTGATGATCGTTGAATAAATTCAATAATATCTTTTGTGTACGTAATTGTCGTATCCATTGTTGAACATTGTCTTGTTAAATCTTGTACAGATAACTCTAAACAATGTATATTACAATGGATATAAAATGCTTTTTTCTCGTTGTAATATTTTAGCGGCAACTCCCTCATGAATTCCACCCATATTTGCCGTCCTATTATCATAGCCTTGACCACGACATTGTTTAATATTTAAACCACATCTTGTTAATGCATCAACAATTGCTTCTGTAATTCTATTAAAATTTTGTCTATCAATTTGATATAAACCTATTACATCTTCATAAATTACATATTGCGTATCAACCGAACGAATTGTAATACATAATTGTTCTTTATTTGCTTCGTCAGCAGTTTTATCACATATGAGTGCAAACCATTGACGTTCAAGAATCTGTTGAATTATATCTTGAATTATTTTAAGTGATATTTCTTTAGCTAATTCGTTCACAATATCATGTAATAAATATTTTTTGTCGTTAAGCCAATCTTTTAAACTATTTATATCTTGACTGCGTAATTTCATTAATTGTATTAAATTGCTTTCTTGTTCATCATGTCCACGTAGTGGTAATCCTTGACGAAGTAAACATATTATTGATGATATTTGTGTCAATAACATATCTCGCCTTTGTTGCTGTTATTTTTTTTAAAGTAGTTTGAATTTGAACTCCTGAGGGTTGAATTTGTTTATATAATATATATAGACAATCAATATGACTTTTTGTTTTTTCATGAATATCAAAATGTTCAGTTCCTTTTTTCCAGTTGTAAAATCCATCCACAATAAATGCTATTTTAAGATTTTCATCAGCTTCTGGATACATACCACATTCAAATGCTAATTTACAATGAACACAATATAATTTTTGTTTTGTTTTACAAAATGTTAACCATGGGTAATTTTTGAATCATGAAATTTGACAAACTCTTTCATCTCTTTTGAATATAATGTCTCTTGAATTGGTAGGATGATAAGGATAAGATGCTGAGCAGCATGCTGTTTCACATTTTACATTATATGTAATTGACGATGTTGTTTTTTGATCTGAACAATTGTTAGTTGAGAATGTTCGATTCAAATTTTCAATATTTTCTGTATCAGTCAGAGATTTTGGTTTCATTATAGAATTATCTATTAAATTTGATATTGATGTTTCTATAGTTGAAGTTTCATCTTTTTTGATTCCGGAATGTAACTAGGACTTTTGTTCAGTAATTATGCAAGAAATTATGCATTAATTTTGAGTAAAGCAAGCGCTCTAGTGTAATTTTAGGCATGGCAACCATCTTGAATTTCTATTGGTTGGCATATAAAATGAATAAAATAATTGTACACACGCTTTATAAATAAATTAGCAAGATTGGAGCTTCAGTATAAAAAGAGAAAAACATTTTAAATCGAACTGTCGATTTAGATTTGTGAGACCTACTCGCGGGCTAAGGTCTTCTAACCAATCAGAACCCAAAGGATTAAGCCGAAATGCTTACTCGTTAGTTAGAACACGACGGGAAGCATCGATTAACGAGACGACTCCCTCCAAGTTTCCAATCAATGTTGATCGAAGGAAGTTGATGTGGTAACCCAAGCGCAGCTGTGTCGTACCGCAATTAAGGGCTGCGGCAGAAGCATGTGAAGTCAAGCACGTTGGAACACCAGTTGGCCAGAAGCGAACTGTTTAGTAGGCTGAAAAGGTGCGTACTGCCATTGCTGATTAGAGAAATTGCTTTTGGTGCTTGAGTACGTAGGCGTACTTTTTTCACTTGTTATTCTTATGGATGTAAAACTAATATTGAGCACAAACTCTTACTAAATATGAAGCTTTTTTTAAGCTTTTATGTAGTGGAAACATGGAACGTAAGACAAAAATATTTTACTTTCTTTATCTTTATTATTTAACTAGACCTGAACAGCCTAAAATCGTCCCTCGTTCTTTGAAATAAAACAGTGTAAAGATACACAGATCTTAATAAGTTGCTCTCCTTCAGTTTATTTCGACTAAAATTTCATTAATCTTAAAATAAAAGTGATTATCTGCCAATGTAAATAGTCTTCTTTCTCATGAAGTCTCATGTTCGATTATCCTTATCTAGTTGGATAAAATAGCCGCTGTATCATTATAGTAGCGTAACATTTCTGGACCATCACCCATATATTTAATCTCATCGCGGAATAAGATTAATACATTACGATTTCGTTCAATAATATTATAATTTTTGTTAATTGAACGTAATTCAGCAACTTGTTTTTTCAACTGTTCTAACAGTGACGTCATTGAACTCATCAACAGTTGTTGTTCATTAACTAAGTCTTGCCGTCTTACCTGTAACTTAGACTCTTGTTCTTGGGCATATTTATGATGTGATCGTGCTTCGTTATCTGGTAACGTTACTTGAATTTTGGTTTGCTCCTGTTGATATACTGCCTGAAGACTGCAATGTCCGTAATCGCCAGGATAACCAAAAGTATCGTAGTGATTATTCAAAGAAGGAACTGGATATGTGACTCGTTGTTGACTATCATCATTGCGCTCTGCAGACGAATCGTGATGGTAGTGTTTTTCATTAGCTAGTGCTAACGTGTGGGATCCATCAGGTGTAGAACAATATGGTACTATTAACGATTGTTGATTAGAAGAAAAATTGTGAAGCGATGGAGGCGAATACTTTTTTTCTGATGTTGTCGGGTTATACTGTTGATGGCTTCCAGTGCCGAAGCCAAGAGACAAAATGTCAACTTGTGCGGTTTCTTTATCATGTTTTCTATCAACAGTGACCGTTGAATCATCCAGAGCTTGATCATTATGTTTGTTCAAATATGTGTCGTCTACCTGACAACCATTACAGGATTTTGAAATACGCAAATCGTGGTCTTTTGGTGGAAATGTCAGCTCCGCCGTTTTTCGACGTTCCATGCCCAAGATCTGTTCTGCTTCATCGAGCGAGGTCTGTTTTCCTTCGTTAGATAACAGATACTGCGGCTTATTTGACAACAGCTCTGTCGGCTTCTTGGACGAGACGCATTCCGCTCCGACCGACGAGAACTGTTGTAATCGTGATGGCGACGGTGATCGACGTCGTGGAGCTTCCACCCAACGAACAGCATTGATTTCTCGATGCTTATCCCATTCTTTATTATTTTGCATTGTATCTCGAGCACCTTCAATACCAGCTTGTGCTACCTGTTGCTCTTTGTATTTTTCGAGTAAATCCACCATGTTTTGTATAGATTGAAAAACACACTTTTCAATTAATGCGATTTTGATTGCACCAACTTCAAATGATATTGTTGAAACCTCATGAAACTCTGACAATTTCTGCACTAATGATTTAATTGTATCCAAATTATCTTCAAAATCTTGTTGGAAACGATGAATTGTTTTCGGTGATCGTTTCTTTGGGTCCCATCGGAATAAACTATTTTGCAAATGAAATTTTTTGCTATCGTCAACATTGAGATCGCGCTTCAATACTGATGAATCTAAATTAACACTTAGCTCATCACAATTGGTCAAAATAGCAACACAATTATTCAACAAGTTGTTGGGCCATACTTGATGTAACATATGCAAAAAGTTTTTGAATGAAACACCAAGACGTGGAACGGCACCGTTCACAACCAAGATAATTCCATTTAGGAAGGACACTTCTTTCAATGCCTTTTCAATCAATGTCAAATTTTTTTCATCAACATCAGCACCGTTTGTGTCATTAAATCCCGGCGTGTCAATTATCTCTAAACAACTAGTTTTTCGATGAATTATATATGTAGTACATATTTGTGTTTGACTTTTTGTTTGGTCGTTAATATTATGTTCACTGTTATTATTCTTGTATGCTTCGTCAAGACAATCCAACCAATTTGCACATGGTATAGCTAGTTTCACTTGTGGATGTTCACAAAAAATTTCACTTGACTTTTTTGTACCATGATAATAATTGTACAAAAAATTAATGAACGATGATTTACCGGCACCAGCATCACCTAGTACAATAAATCGTTTTAGTTTCGACGTTGAAGTCATTTGTGCTTTGGTCATGAAGCACTGTAAAAGAAATAATCTATACTATTGAAATAAAACCTACGGTTTATATACACACAACGGGCCACCAATAAGCTATATTCTGTTATTTTTCTTCTCTCTGTTTCGTTCTTATCAAGACCCCCGAGTTTTATGGCTTGCAGGATAAAACTAATGCGCTTTCTATTTACTCAATATTTTCTTGAGATTTTTAATGCGTAATCTTAGAATAGAAGAAGAGTACACTATTTATTACCTTTGGTTTTTCCCCGAAGTATTATAGTTTCAAGAGTTACAGAGATAAAGCAAAAATATCGTCCTTTGGTTTTTCACCAAAATATTACATTTCAAGAGTTGCAAAGATAACGAAATGACATCATCGAACATTATACAACTTTTCAAAGTTCGTTTTGGTAGATAAAATGGTATATAAAAGCACTATTCGTTTGCATCTAGTATCACTAGATTTCAAAAAACAAGTATGACTTTTCGTTTTGTTGCCACAAGAGCAGAGTTTGTTATTAGCAAAATGTCGACACCAGATATTGTCATGGCATTCATTGGCGAATCTGGCTCAGGAAAGTCTACTTGTATCAATTATTTTGCGAATTATTTCACCGCTTCATCGTTTGATTACCAAAATCATTATTCAAAGATGAAAATTGTTATACCAAACAACTTGTTTCCAAAGCCGAATTTCGTTGCTAGTAGTCAACAACATACTGAACGTAATGTACACGATAATACGATGAGTCAAACTCAGGCTTGTAGTGTTTATGATTTTAAGTACAATGAACAACATATCAAAATTATTGATACACCCGGCTTCAATGACACAGACTCAAGTAAAGATGATCAGAATATTCAAAAAATATTGAAACAAATCTCTCAAGTACCATTCATTACTGCCATCATCATCACAATCAATGGTACCAATACTCGCTTATCAACATCAATTAGAACAACGTTGACTCAACTTCGTGGTTCATTGCCAGATAGTGTTTTCGATAATTTATTTTTTATATTCACAAATTGTACCGAAGAAACACGAAATTTTGATCTGAAACTACTGAGTGAACTCAATCCATCAGTAGAACGAACATTCCATATGCAGAATTCGTTGTTTTCCATCAAAGATTTGACTATTTTAGAAAATAATAAATTAGTACGAAAAATGGTCCAAACATGGGAAGACTCGGTGGAAACGATGCGTGAAATAATGGATAAAATAGATCAAACATCGGCTACATCCGTTCAAGAATTTGAAGAAATGCGTATTCGACGTGAACGACTACTTGCACATAAAGAAAACTTAATAGTAAAACAAAAATCATTGTTAGAAATTATCAAGCAATTAGAAATCGAAAAAGACCGACTAAAGACCGCAAGTAATGACCAACAAGCAAATCGAAATTTCACAGAAGAGAAAACGATCAGCGTTATTGAAATAGAGAAAAAGCCATATTTTAGTACACTTTGTACACAACATGGCAAAGTACAAGTATGCCATGAAAAATGTAGTTTGTCATATGAACCAAATTTGAATTTGGCTCATTTTGAACGCTGTGCTGCTGCCGATGGAAAAAACTGTCGACATTGTAAATGCGGAATGAATGAACATCTACATTCGTATGAAATTCCAGTATCAAGACCAAAAACAATCAATGAAATAATTCAAAGTAAAAAAGCAGCATATGATAAAGCAACCAAAGATGTTTACACTACTCATGTTAAATTACTTATATTCGATTCAGCGCGAGCTGAGTTTGAAAGCGAAGTTAATGATATTAAAAATGACTTAATATCGACCATTCGTGAACTAAAACAAATATGTTCAAACTTTAATTTTCTTGAAGAAATGAAGGGTACAATAGAAAAACTAAGAAAAGAAGCCAAAATTGCAACAGACATGCGAGCAAAAGAAGAATTCAATAATACAGCTGATGCCATTGAACAACTTTCGACAAGTTTAACAAACAAACTTCATGTCAGAAACAAACGTATTTTTTCATAACTCTTTCTAGAGATAATGCTTGAACTTTTTATTCATTATTGTGAACAGTTCCGATAGACATAAATAAATTTGGTATAAACCTGTCTGCAACTAAAGAAGTAATATTCCATCAATTCGAGTAACTAGACTTGAAAAATGCCATGAAGTGAAAAATCGAGAAAATATAGTGACTTTGAATATTTCAAAAGATGGTTGACGCAACTAAAGATACAGGGTTTCTATATGACAGTGACGTACAAGATATTAATCCGATGAAGTCCTACTATGATCGTATTCATAAACTTAACAGCGAATGTACTGTTATTTAGACAGAAAAAAATGTCAAAACCTCTTGTATGCATTTACGAAAGATTAGAAACAGCTAGATTTTTCCTTCTGAGAAGAAAGTAAACGAAAAACACATACATATTTAAGTAAGCTCATATGATGTAGTACACCGTGAAAACAAGAATTCCATTTGGTGATGTTTAGAGCACATGGAAGTGCCCTGCCTTTTGTTATCACGCTGACTGTGGCACACTTAGCGCACTTTCATGTGCCCTAAATCTCATCAAAAAGATTTTTCTTTTCATAGTGTAGGTATAAGATATTAGACTTGCAATTTAAAGCTACTGACATCGAACCGCTGGTCGAGCGCTGTTTGGTTTTCCTCTCCGCTCCGAAATTAGATGCAGCGGGTGTCCTATGGCCCTATTCGTCGGCCAATGAATAGCTAGATGAAACTAGTTACACTACTTTTAGCAGCCACTAATGTATGATGCTAGAAGAACGTGGTTTCAGCTTGTTTAGATTTAATCGCTGACTGTGTTTGAGGACCTAAACGAGACACAACTAATTCGTCAAAATCTTCGTGGGTGTGAGCTCTATGGACCAGGTTGATTTGGGGGCCTAAATCCATCTGCGTCTAGTGTACCTTTTTTAAAAAATATGCATTCACAATGCCAAAAATAGTTAGTTCATCCAGCAAATCAACCTAGCAAAGACTTCCCTAGTCGAACATCTTGGAACCAAGATCTTGACATCTTAGATTTTTTCAAAAAGATCTTGACAAGATCTTTCGTACAGGATGTCAAGATATTTTTGTTCCTAAGATCTTGCCCATGATCTTGCGTACAAAATCCTATAAATTATCTTATATTCAAGATCTCGACTGTAAAATGACTTGTACCCAAGATCATGGCTCAAGATCTTTGATACAGAAATATTTTGACATCTTGTACCAAAGATCTTTGAGTAACCATTGGATATCATTCACCGTCTTATTTTGGCGATGTCATCCTATATATGAATATCCTATTTTGTGTCTAATGTTACTATGTTGTTGTCGACAGCAGAGTCAAAGCTCCATGAGGGAGCATTAGTGATCGTTGATCCTAGCGGATGAAATGTTCACCACTGAGTGATAAATTCTTTTGTTCCCAGCCCTTGTTGAAAAAATCCAAAGAAAAACAGTTAGTTTTGAAATATGACGGTTTTTCAAACGTTCAAGCTCCTGGGTCAAGATATCAAGAAATATCTGTACCCAAGGTCTTGCGTAAGATCTTGGGTATAAAAATATCTTGAGATCTAGTACGCACTTTTTCAATATCTAGTGCCAAATCTTAACGTAAGATCCTGGGATCTTGTTGACTATCTAGCGATTTCACCTGAAGCTTGTAGATAATCAAGCCTTGGATCGTTTGCTTGGTTGAAAACTCAAACAAACATCAACTGATACTAACATTGATATGATGCTCATGGCATACAAAAGATGCAACTAGAAATGCGTATTTGTGCAGGTACGTATTCTACGACATCCTTCAATGTTCCGATAGCTCAGTCAGTAGAGCGTCAGCCTTTTGACTTCAATGCCTGGAATTCGAACTCGCACTCGCAGGTCCCAACATTTACCTTTTCCTATTATCTCATTATGCTTTGATCATTATCTGTAAGAATGTTAAAAAATCTACTTGAACTGACAAGTTTCCCTAAAATCATTGAAGAAAAATTGGAATTATCCGATTAGAACGAAACAAACATCAGTCGAACATTCATTTTATATTTTATTCAACTTTCATATGATTACATTTCTGAATGTATAA